AAGTGGCTAAATGCCATTGTTACTGTTCGTATCACTGTGTGTAGTGCTGAGGAAGCCTCTGGAGCTGAAATTCAGATATGGTGATGGACGTTTTGTTTTGGGTCATTTGACCAATCAGAGCAGAGGAAGCTCTCAGAAAGGAGGGGTTTAGAGAGACTGAAACCCTTATCGAGAGTTTCAGACATTGTGAGTTGATGTGCAATGTATATTTTGAGAAAATGAAAGTGTTTTTTTTTATTGGATGCATGTTATTCTATTGTAGGAGACCTCCAAAACAAATAAGATAGCATAATAGAGGCACTTTAAGTTTAAAATGTTGTTTTATCTAATTGTACACACTTTTCCTATCAACTCAATCAACTGAAATCTTACTTCAGTGATCAATATGTTGTTTAACTGCACATTACTGTCTGCAAATGTAATCAATAATTTAAGATTAGTGTTTTTTCATTTAATCATAAATTTAACATTAAAATAAGCATGCAAAAAGGATGTTTTCTAATTTTCTCAGATTTGTTCACCATTTAAGTGTTAAAAATGTAAGCAATCTTATGGCTTTAGATTTAGAAGACTTCGTAAGTACTTTTATGGTGGTTTTAAGATGTTTTTTGCTGCATTACAGATGTTGTCTCTACCACCGTATAGAAAAAAAAAACTGCGTAAAGATTCTTTAAAAGCTGATGCTTTTAAATGGAATTTGTGGGACTGTAATAGAGATAAAAAGCAAGCAGAGAGCAGACGTGTGACACAGTCAATAGAAACTGTGGAGGAAACTAGAAACCGTGAGAAAAACAAACAGAGAAAAAATCACTCTACTTCAGCTTTAGAGAGTAAAACATGGCTCAAGCCATGCGTCTACATGTAATCTGTCATACCTCTGTTTTTTTTACCCTCTCACGGCTGTTTGTTTTCTGCTGACCACTACTAGACTGAGGTCAAAGATAAAGCCAGCGCGAACAGCTGCCAAAAACACTGACACGCAATACAAGCACACAGCGCTACAGTAAATGAACACATAGTTTAATGTAGCAAGATATTGCAGCATTGACAAATTTGACAAGGTGCTTCCTAGTACATCAAGGCATGGAAAATAATGTTTAGATATATATAGTGAATAAATATGTGTGCAGCTGACCGTAATAGAGAGCTAATCCCCAGGGCCAAAACACTTCCTTCTGGTTTGCTTGATCAACAGAGAGAAAAAACTGAGTCAACACATTAAAACAAATCAATGTATTCGCGGTAATTCGTTCAGGTAATACTTTTGACCAGTGATTTCAATACATAAAGAAATATTTTGTTTACTTCTTACCCTGCATGTAAATGTACTTGCGTTTCACTATTCACGGTGATTTTTTATAAGCAGCCCATTGAGAAAACCCATTAAAATCATCACAGAGTCACAGGGGTTGAGCTAAAGTTTTTGTTGACATTGTTAGTGACTACATTTTAGATTTCAGTAAATAGTTGTTATAGTTAATTGTTAACAATCTGTTCTAAAAATGGAGTCAACTAAATGGAATCCTTAATGCCTAAAAGAAAAATTGAGCTAAAACAGTCAGGAGGCTGCAGTACATGTTGTTCTGGAATGTACATTTGTCTCTCAAATTCTTTCATAAGCGATAAGGGTGTAATATTGGCACATCAGCTCCAGCTATTTCACATTCTTTCAAGGTACTAAATACTTATGGAGGCTATTCAATTTGTGAAACATTTTACCATGCCTTTTCAAACGCCTTTTATTTATTGTTTTACTCTCGTACTAGGCCTAGAATTTCTATGAAAAAAGCAGATTTTATTGCGACAAATTACCCAAAATCTATGAAATTTTATGAATAATCTATGGAAATAAATGATAAACTTATGAATCATTGCTATAATAATGTAACAAACCGTTTCAATACTTATTGTGTGAAAATGATTTTTGAAAGAAAGAAAAAGATTTTTGAAATTATTTTAATTTCCTCTCTATTTTTTTAAGAAGGTATTGTACTTGATTGCCAATATTTTTACTGTCTGACATTTCCAATCAAGCTGTAGGCTAATTTAGTAAAAAATTATGCAAGAAGTGTGAAAATATTTATGTGTAGGCTATTTATTTATTATGTCATCTCATTTGATTTGTTAATTGTTTGTACAGAAATTAAAATAGTGTGAAAAGTGTTTTAAGAGAGTTTAAAGGGCCAGAGTGCCCATAGTTGATAAACCATGGTTGATTTATTTACAGAAAAGTGCGATGTTGAAAGGTTGACATCACGTCAAATTGCCAGTTTGCTGGTGGTTACCCTGTTACAATTCATTATTCATTATTTCACAAAAGCAACATAAAACAATCCTTCATAGACCCAAGCACGTCCACTTTTCAATCCCCCCCTCACAACCAAGCACCCTCACTACTAGAAGCTAACACACTTTCGATTTCCATGACAACCTCTGTTTGAATCTGGGCGTAAAGTGGGAATATCGGGAATATCCCGGACTGGCGCAAAAATCCTCTCCAGCCGACATGATTAACGATGGGAAATGAAGTCTCACAGCTGCCTCACGTCAAAACGAGCAAATATTTCCAAGTAGAAATAAAATTTATTTAAGTTGTTGTTGACATACCCAAAACATACCTTAATTATTAAAAAATATACTCTTAAAAAAAAAAACATGCTGTATTTAAACTATATTGATCCACTATGAGGGTCCTACCTGAGTAGGCTACTGTCCAAGCGACTAAATCCCGTGCGAAGAAATAAGCGTGAACGTGAGGTAAACAAGTTAAACTCGTGTAGTTTAATCTTAACGAACAGCGCGTGAAGCGTGTACTCGCGCTGTCCAGAGGCGTCTGCGTATGCCCACCTCTTTTACTTTCAAAGCAGAGAGAAAAAAGAAACCCTCCTGTCCTTGTTTTCACAGTACCAGAGGAGTAAAGTCATGAAGCAGCTGATAGTTAATGAAAAATCAACAGTCAGTTAGTTCTCTCCTCAACAAATCAACAGCCAGACATGTCAATGAATCACTGTGACTTCACTCACTGCCGCGCTAATCGAAATGTGGAACCTCGTATGATTGATTCTTTTGACAGACTGATTGATTGGGTTATCTTTAAACAAATGCCATTAGTGTCAATTTCAACCTACCAAGAGTAAACTTACCCTATCTTAGAACCGAGTTTAAACGTAACAGTCTGATTATGTCCTGGTTTTGTTTTATTTGATTATGTTCTTAGTTTACAGTTATTAAAATGTGAAAAAATATTTTCAAGACATAATAGTGTCAAACTTTATGTAATATCAAGGGTTAATCTCACAAAAATCTATCTTTTTCATGACACTTCAAACAAAGTTGTCACAATTAAATCTGTTTTTTTTTTCTTCATTAAAATAAAAGTAGCCTATATAAAAGTGTTTTAAAATAAAAAAAATTAAATGGTAGGCTACTTTGAAACAAACACACTGCTAAAGAAAACACATTTGTGTAACTAGACTTGGACCCCATAGTTAGATATAGCTTTTGTGACAAACTTGTGTAGATAGATTTTAAAAAATGTAACTCATTTGTAAGTCGCTTTGGATAAAAGCGTCTGCTAAATGATTAAATGTAAATGTAATTATAATGCCATTAAAATAGACTTAATATTCTTCATGTTGTAGACTATAATTTCTCATATTTCGTTTTGATTTTCTAAACAAACTAAAAATAAAGATGTACAATATTAAACTAACATTATATACATAATATACTATATATAATATAATATAATATACAATATATATATTTATTTTTATTACAACAAAAGTACCAAAGTATATAAGGACAAAGGGGAGACTTGGGGTCAAAAGGTTGAAAGCACTGCTCTACATTGGATATACTTATTTAACACTAGAGGGCGCCCTATAGCCATGCATTTTTGGATGATTGACTATAATGCTAACCAAATTATCCGACCATGCCATGGAGTGGCTCTAACAGCCCATGATTTCTTTGTTATTGTACATAACTTTTTTGTCCTTGCTGGAAATCTCAGTTGAAGAAGGGCATGTTGTGGTTGGCTTTGTCACTTTTGGCTCTGCTTTTACCTTTTCCTCATCTTCTTATCTTTACTTACTCATTCTCCCATTCATTGTCTCACCGCTAATCTTATTACAATAGCTGATACTGAATTTGGAAAGTCTGTACTACAAATATCAGTTTGGGGAAAAACGTCAAGGCATAAGATTATGCTGCAAGATTATAACTTACACTAAACAATCTGCTCATATCACTCCAATTCTGTTCAAACTCCACTGGCTTCCCGTGTTATCTCGTGTCACTCAATGGTCTTGCTCCTTCCTATCTCTCTGACTTACTTTCTCCTTATATTCCTCCTCAAACTCGCCGATCTTCTGGCTGTGAACTCCTCAGTGAGCCGAGATTTTGTCTTTCATCTATGGGTGGCAGGTCTTTTCCGTTATAGCCCCTAAGCTGGAACTCTCTTCCCCTGGCTCTATAGGACAACAACCAAGCTGCATTAATTTAAGTCTAAACTCAAAACCCATTTGTTTCAACAGTATTATCAGTCATGACATGTTTTTCTTAAACATTTTTCATAACTCTGTATTACAGTCATAATGTTAATTTAGGTACCATTATTCCTTTGCATTTTACTTCAACTGCCCACCTTCCATACTGTCTGTAAATAGTGTTGTTTCTTGTTTCTGTTTTGTCTGTATTCCGAATGTAATGCGATATGCAACTGCAATCGCTCATTTTCTTGGACTGGGCAAATGTCTATTGTCCATTTATGTGTGAACTGATTGTTTGTTCTTTACTGTTATTGTGAAGCGTCCTTGGGAAAGGCGCTATATAAATTAAACTTATTATTATAAGAAACCGGTTTTCATGCATGTTTTTATTTGAGATCCTCCTCATGCATTACACTAAGATGACAGCATATTTTTCATTGCAGTACTACAAACTTTGTAAACAGTCAAAAAAATGCCATTGGTGTGTCCCAAATTGCGTAGGCCTACTTATGCACTATTCTATTACATTTTGTAGTACAAATAATGCGATTAGCGTGTTCACACTGAAAATTCCAAATAGAAACTAATAGAAAAGTGAAGTGTAGACCATATGTAATGTGAGAAACAACTCATGTCTTGTTCTCAGACAAACCGCAGACAGACAAAGATGTGGAAGTACATGTCAAACTTAAGATGTGCAAACGACACACAAGATGAGTTGTGAAATCACCAGGGGATGTTTTTGCCCTCCCAATCTAAAAGAGTTCCACTGTGTTTCTCGGTGAGGCTGGTGATGACTTTCATCATACCGCTGACACTCTCAGCTGTCGTCAGGGGAGCCTGAGGGTGCCATGAGAAAAATCACAAACGTGAGGATGCCAAAGAAAAGCAGAGCACTGAGACGAATATAAAAAGCACTTTTGTATTACCTCTGGGCCTCCCATTTCTGTCGCGACCCATCCTGGATGGAGAGACATAACTAGAATGCCATCTTTTTTAAAATCCTCCGCCAAGCAGCAAGTTAACATGTTCAGTGCAGCCTGAAGTAATGAAACACTCGTGACGTTGTAGTTTTGATGGTGATTTAGGAGTAAAATAAAGTCTGTGGTAAAACGTTCATGTTTTGTATACTATAGATTACAGTAAAAGCCTTGAAGAAGCATCGTACCTTGCTGACCCGATAGGGGTACATTGGAGAGATGTAGAAATTTTCAGAGCATCTGGTGATGGATGACAGCAGTGTGGAGACATTGACGACAGCCGATCTACTGCAAGACATGCTTGTCTGATGAGGAAACTGAGCTGCAGCCTTGCACAGGAGCGGATGGAAATTCTGAAAATGAATGAATGTCAATTACAGTAAAAGGATTACATCATAATTATACAACGGTTTCACAGCAAAACTTTCTTGCTCAGTATTTTGCCTTGTTTTCCAGTACAAATATCTAAACATAGTGGCCCTATTATGCTTTTTCGAATTTGACATCTCATGCAGTGTGTAATTAAGTTATTGTTATCCTAAAAGAAAGAATCGATTCTGAACTGCCGAAACGAGTCGTCAGCAATTCCAGTCTCACTTCCTATAACATACCGACGTAAATATTGCAACAAATGTGCATAATGCCAGCCTGTGGTCTAATGACTAGTTTGACCCGTCCTCAAACACTGTCGTTGTAGCTGAAGCCTGGAAGAGTTTGGTTTGTGTTGTCGACATGTCAAGAAGATGCTGTTTTTTACTGGTTTAGAGAAACTGAATCTTTGAACGAACAGGTTTCAGACTCTTTGAGAGATTAGGTAATGTGCAATGTATTTTAAATGTGCAATGTGTTTGTTTGTTTTTTTACCTTGGATGCATGTAAACCTATTGTAGGAGACCTCCAAAACAAAATTAGGAACCTTTAAATAGCATAATAGGGACACTTGAAATCAAGATTCATTTATTTGAGAAGCAAAATGACTTCTAGTCTTTCAAGTCTAGTTCTCTGAAAAATGATGAAAATCAACTGAGTTTATGCTCAAAACAAGAAAGAATGTCAGTGGGGTAAGAAACAAGATTATTTTATCCCACAGACAGATATTTTTTCTTGTTTTGAACAAACTCAGTTGATTTTAATAAATTTCATATTAAGTAATTTATATTATATGTATTTTTAGATATTTGTGATGGAAAACAAGACAAATATACTAAGTAAGAAAATCATTGGTTGCGGTGTTGAAGGTTCACACACTTTTGCGATCAGCATAGGTCCTACAACATTAGTCGTGAACACGTCCACCATCTCCCGTTTTCCTGTCTCTGCTAGAGATCCTGGGATGTTCACTGCGGCATTGTTGATGATCAGATTCAGGCCTCTGCCATTCAGTTTGGCTTCCACCAGTTTTGAGGCGTCTGCGATACTAGCCTGACTATCAGTGTCTTTTGAAAAATAAAGTAGAAGAACAACATTATATTAGCTGAATATGAGACAATGACTGTCCTAATGAAGATAATCATGAATCAACCATGATATTACAGCAATGTCCAGTATTTTATGAATCTCTTACCCAGTTGGACAACTGTGATCACATCATGGTGCTTCTGAGCTAGTTTCTGGAGTTCCTGAAATACAAGCAGACGCACCTGCTTGTCAGGAACTTCATATAAACATCTTCATAAAATGACAAATCGCACATTATATCCAGTACAGGAACAGCAGAGTTGCCCAACTCGTTTCAGTGCCACAATGACTCATCTATAGTCTTTGTAAAACTTGAATAGATGGTACAAAGTTCAACAGATGGTACAAATGTCATCATATATATTGAAAACTTGGTAAATGGCATTAATTAAGGGAAAATCTTGACATCATCTAATTTTTTACGGTTTCAGCAACACTTTGCAATTTGTTTACATTAGCATTTGGCATCATTAATAACTGTACATGTACTTATTAATCGAAATTAATCATAACATTTTAAGTTATATATAATTAAAATGATATGAATTAAGTACATTATATAATATACCGGTAATTAAGCATAATAAAGTCGAATAAATAAACTTTATAAATGAGTGTAGATAAAATTAGTTTTAATATATTATAAACAAACATGAATTAACAATGAACAATATTTACAAATTAACATTAAATTTCCTTTATGAACTTACACACGTAAACCCATTGAACCTTTCTTTACAGAGTTCTCATGGCTTGTTACCTGTGCTCTTGGTCCATTTGGGTCTCTACAACCAGCAAAGACGTGAAGTGGAGATGAGGGTGAATCAACCAACTGGCGAACCAACTCAAGTCCAATTCCACGGTTTGATCCGGTCACCAGGACACTGTCGAACATTCTAGAGGCCATTATCAGTCAGAGGCTCGTCTGTGACCTACACTGTACAATGGACGGCATGTAGCCTACTGTACCTGTATGTTAGTGTGTACGTATTGGATGTGTGGGAGTCATCAGTGTTATGGAGTAATGAATGTTTACTACGTGTCACTGCTTACGCTTCTAAGTCCCTCCCAGGCTTCAAAGCCTTCTTCTTCCTGGACAGAGAGAAAACATTTACATTTATTTATTTAGCAGGTGTTTTATGCAAAAAATCGTGCAAATGAGACATGCCGTATAAAACTAAGATAAACAGGTAACATTTCAGATGTCTTTAGTGTCTCATTGTCATTCTGTTACCATTTATTCATTTAAATGCAAAGGGAGGAACTGTCTTGACTATCTGATTTTCTCTCATTTAAGTTTGACTGTAATTCATGGCCAATAACAAAATACTTTGTCTCAGATCCATTTATAGTTTTAGATGCTTAGATGCTATATTGTTATTTAATGATTGTCTGATATAATGTCCAAATCACTGGGTGGTTAGAGTAAAACAGAAGATTATATATATATATATGTATATATATATATGGACTGTCTTTTTTCATAAGAATGAATGCATTCAAGAAAAAAATCATTTTTGATTGAACACTGATGATTCCACCGCGTACAGTTTCATTTTCAGAAGGAAGCTGTAAGAATTAACCACAAACATATCGAGGACCTGATGTGGAAATCCGTGTTAAACTGCTAAAGCTGCACACGTAACCCACACAAGAAATGAGTGGAGTAATCACTGTTGAGTAAGCACTTCAAAATATCTATACATCCTTAAAACAAGACTGTTTTTACTGTATTTCTATAAAAATAAATAGGTGAAAATAACATTGAATGACTTTTCAAAAACTTTTTCTGTCTTACACAATTTTACTTTATAAGTGAACACATCTTGTTTTACGAATGTTTATATATTGACTGAATATGTAAACAATATGAATACGAACTCGTATTGTTAACTACGTAACTATGCAACTAAACACTACATAGTTATCTTAAGGTATGCTCACCATTGAGGGATCCTGCAACATTAGTTTTGGTTCACTTCCACCATCTTTTTCCTGTTTTTGGATCCTGGATTCTCAAACCAGCATTGTTGATGATCAGATTCAGGCCTTCCGTTCTCAGCTTGACTTTCACAGCTTTAAAGACTTTATAATATTAGTCGGACAACCAGTGTCTTTGCTTGTAAAACTGTGATCATGGTGCCTCTGAGCTAGTTGCTGAATCAGAAGCATTTTAGGAGATTTATGTATGTCTGCATAAACTACATGGTTTGCACGTGTATCTTGTGTCACAATACACCATTTATTTACAGCAGAGCTGGAGAAGCAGAACTAGTTTCAGTGTCACAATGACTTGTTATGAATGAAATATGATATAGATGCCAGGAAGATAAGATTTTGATCTACATCATAATGCAGGCATGTAATGAATGTAGGCTACTAAAGAAAACTAGTAAAACTAAACCAGAACCAACCTTTACCGGGGAAAGTCACGCAGATAAACTTGAAAACATGTTGAATGGTTTTCTCCTCTGTTTAACTTCAAAGCTTTGGATTTGGAAATGAGGGTGATTCAATCGACTGGTGAACCAACTCGAACTGTGTTCCACGCTTTGATCAGAACATCGAAGTTCAGTAAATGTTTAACAAGTGCCATCGCGTATGAGTCCCTCCCTGAGTCTACAAAAGCCGTTTCTTCTCAGACTATAGTAACAACTAAAAGCTTTTTCCAGAACATGCAGGTGCTGTCAATGTAATTCCACTGTTATGCTGCCATTTTCTTAGTCAGTGTTTGTACCACAGCCTTACAGTAAAAATATCTACACATCCTTAAAACAAGATAAATTTACTTGAAAGGCAAAATTGTGTAGGATTATATTATGTTTTCAGAGAATATATCTTTTAATGAGAGAAAGCATTTTTAACAATGCATTTTTAACAAAAAAAAAAAAACGTTTGTGGCATTTGATGAAAAAATAGTTTAAAACGTTTGCAAAAAGTTAGATTTAAAGAACTGACTATATCATTATATTTTTTCTGACAGGAGGATATTCAAATCACAGGATGCTGACAGCATATTGCAGAAGTGAATAAAATTAGACATTATGGCCACTAGGTGGCAGAACAGAATTACTTATGTCACCAGGGTAAAAAAAAGAGGTTACCCACCGCCTCCGCCCGCGCCCGCGCCCTCCCCCTCCCCCTCCCACCCCAACAAGTATCTTTGGAAAAGAATCTGGAGTTGAGCAAACTTTTTTTTTTCAAGTTTAAGGTCAAGGTCATCTGTAAATCAACACACTGATCTTTTATCACACTCAAACACAAAACAGACAATAACTGACTCTCAGACTCTCTTCTCATACCTGTTCACAAGCACTCACAACAGAGAAAAACACAAAACAGCCTGTCCTCTCAAACTAGGACAAGGAGCAGCTGATAGAGACACGTAACCATGGCGACCAGGTGACGTCTCACATTCCAGCTTGAGCTCTCAGATTTCAGATGGGAGGCCGGTGGCCAATATTCATGTAGCCTACCTCCATCATAAAGCGATGCCAGTCTGAGAAGGTGGCAAGGGCTTATTGACCAGAAAGCCAAGAAAATAATTAAAAACAGCTGTAAAGAGAAATGGAGAGTGTTCAGGCCATGCACAGGTGGGCATACTTAAATTTCCCGCAACAAATCCGCATGTTTGCCATGTCACGACTAGTCAGAGCGATCAAGTGCTTCCCTGTTCCTTGGCCTGTTCTTATAAGTTGTGTGACATCACAGAGGGCATTAGCCTCAAGCTAGAGGCCAATTGTACCATGCCAGGAATCCTTTTTTTTTTTTCTTGTTTAAGCTAAAGCCTGTGGAATGCTGGGTAGGCAGCTGAGAGGCTGGCGGCTGGCGGCTTGGGTCTGGTAACCTGCTGAGGGATGTGGGAGAGACAGGGGAATGTAGAGTCCTCAAAGCAGAGTGTACCAGCTAGTCTGGCAGCATTCCTCACACATAAATGCGCACACACCTCGAAAAACCACGCAAACATTCCACGTCTCTTCCTCCACAACCTGTACGTCCGAGCGGATCTTTGGTGCATGAACGGCTTTAGCAGTACTGAGTGTCTCTGTATTAAAAACATCACCAGCCTTGTTCTTCATCAAACATTAATGAAAGCTGGTCTATACTTACTACGTCATTTCCATGTGTGGAGCGCCACAGAAGACGTAATGTTCTCATTGCTGTACTAGGAGTCTAAACTGAGCAAACAACTAATTATATATATATATATATATATATATATATATATATATATATATATATATATATATATATATATATATATATATACTGTATATATATACACTACCGTTCAAAAGTTTGGGGTCAGTGAGAATTTTATTTTTATTTTTTGGAGGAAAGAAATCAATACTTTTATTTATCAAGGACAGTAAAGAATGTTACAAAAGATTCTATTTCAAACAAATGCTGTTCTTTTGAACTTCCTATTCATCAAAGAATCCTAAAAAAAAATAAAAAACTGTCCAACTGACAGACCAACAACTGTTTCAACATTGATAATAATAATAAATGTTTCTTGAGCATCAAATCCTCATATTATACTGATTTGTGAAGGATCATTTGACACTGAAGACACTGACACTGGTGATGCTGAAAATTCAGCTTTGATCACAGGAATAAATTACACTTTACTATATATTCACACAGAAAACAGCTGATTTACACTGGAATAATATTTAATACTATAACTGATTTTTGTTGTATTTTTAATCAAATAAGCGCAGCCATGGTTAGCAGAAGAGAATTCTTTTAAAAGTATTTAAAATCGTACCGACCCCAAACTTTTGAACGGTAGTGTGTATATATAGTATACATATATATATATATATTGTATATATACTGTATATATATATATATATATATATATATATATATATATATATCTCAGTTAAAAGCTTTAGACTATAAAAATACCTAAAATTAAACATTTATGAGCCAAATAAAAGTTTTAGTTGAAAAACTACAGAATCGCTCTATTAAAGAGTTTGTTCACCCCAAAATGAAAATTATCTCATAATTGACTCACCCTCAAGCCATCCAGTTGTATATGACTTTCTTCTGTCAGCCAAACACAATCAGAGTTAAGGTACCATTCAGCTTCCAGCCATTACAGGAAGCTGTGAATATAGTTTATATAGTTAAGAAATATATATATTTTTCCTATAAAAAAAACGCATTGCTTACCTTTAGAAGGCATTTATTAACCCCCTGGAGCATTATGGATTACTTTTATGATGGATGGATGCGCTTTTTTGGGCTTCAAAATCTGTGGTACCATTCAGTCCTATAATAAAGCTTGGAAGAGGCAGGATATTTTATAATATAAGATTTTTTTTGGCTGAAAGAAGAAAGTCATATACACCATATGGCTTGAGGGTGAGTAAATTATGGGATAATTTCATTTTTGTATCAACTAACCTTTTAAGATGGTTGTTCAGAAGTAGTTTGATGCTGCCATAGTCATACTGATTGTATTTGTGCCACATAAATGTCAATCTATTTTCTACGAATATTTTTGTCTGACCAGTGTCCATATATTGTGTTGATAGTGGTCCCAACATTTCACGCACCTTGCACGCATTAACCCATGGCCCCTTTAAAGGGATAGTTCACCCAAAAATGAAAATGTTGTCGTCATTTACTCACGCTCACCAACTGTTTGATAACCAACATTCTTTAAAATATCTTCTTTTATGTTCAACAGAAGAAAGAAACCCAGACAGGGTTGGAACAACTTGACGGTAAGTGGTGACAAAATTTTCATTTTTGGGTGAACTATCCCTTTAAGTTTCTCTGACAACTGGTTCAACATTACAATTAAACCTCACATTTACTTTTGAAATTATTTCTATCTGTAAATTATTCTAATTATCTGCACGCAGAAAAAAACTGGCACACACGCTACACCACCTCAGAAGATGATATTCAACAACAACGCATAGAGATGCACACAAAGTTGTCCTGATTACATTTTAAATTGTAATTTAGTCGTATTTGCGACCATTTTAGTCACAAGCTAGAGCGCTGTTTCGTACAATTTCACCAGTTGCTTTTGTTCTGACCAGAGAACAGAGAACATCTGTCACACCATCTACAATCTAAGTCTATTATGCACACCAATATTACATTTATTTGATCAAAAATAATGTATTGTGTGAAATATATATATACATATATATATATTTTTTAAATTAAATATATTTTAAAATGGGATTTATTCCTGTGATAGCACATCTTTTTTTCAGCATCATTACTCCAGTCTAATATGCTCATTTGCTGCTCAATAAACATCTCTTATTATTGTCAACGTTAAAAACAGCATTGACTGTTTAATTTAAAATAGTAATTTGATTTGGTTTCACATATTTGGATCACCATCAATGATCATTCTGTTTCAATACACTCACAATACACAAAGTAACCACCTGAGTTGAATAACTCAGTGTGTGGTCAGAGAACAAAAACATACCTGTGATTCCAGACAGGTATGATCGGCATGTTTGACATTCTGCTGACATGACTGAGGTATGAAACATCTATGTAATTTCATGTGAGAGGGCAAGTAAGAACTATTGTGTTAGGAGGCTGCTTTTTCAAATTATCATAAAGTCACTTATCTAAACCCACTGGTTATATCCGGTTAAGTCCAGACGGTCACTGCTTCATTTGCGATCAAGAAGTAAACTGCGAGCCATTCGCTGACAGATTACAGAAAATTAGTCAATCATCTGCCACAAACAGGTCATGATGACGACAATTTCTCATAATTCAAGTGCAGTTTCATCCCTTTTCCCCCTGATTATGAGACCTGATGAACAGCAGAGTCGGGAGTATTACATATCTTATCAGCTTGTACAAACCAGACCTCTCTTGAATAGCTCACATTCTTAAGCATCCAACACCTAAGCAACTACAAACTTAAATAGACCCTGTTTAAAAATCTAATATTCTGTGGGTGAGTATAATGGACCTTTTCACCTGTCTAAACAGTAAACCCCAGGTTTACCACCTGACTCTCTGTATTTTGAAGCTCTCATCACCTCCATCTCTGTCCTCCTGCGATGCCTAATTCGTGTTTTCCTGTAGTGATTTAAGATTACAGTGAGACATTTTAGAAAGGACGACTTATTCTAAACTGCTTCTCGGGTTTCTACTTCTCAGGTGAAATGTCACTCCACAGACCTCAAGCCTCAGCAGGTACTTATCTAACAAACATCTGGTTTGACAGGTTAAATACTTTAAGTATGAGTACATGGGTGAACCAGAGGAGAGAACATTGCCTACTGGTCAGGTCAAGATATTTTGAAAATGCTCCAGGCATTTCATTTCCCCAATTATAATCAAATGTAGAAGAGTTTGCAAGAACCAAACAAGACTGTCCAAAACACCCCCCTTTTCCAAATACCTTATGGGTCAGCTGAGTCACTAATACACATGTATTCAAACTTCATTTCTATGCTATATTCCAGGAAATTGTTGGGTCTAGACCAAATGCAAAGTAGATCAAAGTACTGACCGTTGCGATGAGCAGCAGGATTATCATCTCCCTCCACATTCCGGCATTCTTCTGCTTTCCATCATCATCCGAGCTGGACAGAGGCCCGTGAAGAGGGTGTGCAGAGCAGACACTGGACACACAACAAGGGAAACACAAGAAAGGGAAGGTTTAATTAAGACCAGCGGCTCAAATAGACTAAAGGGGAAACGATGAAAAAAAGTGAGCAAATGTCACATTTTTAAACACAAACAGCTTTGTGTTAATAGTTTCTCTATGCAAGAAGTTTTCTCATTTCTAGTATTTTCTAAACCTTAAGGTGTGCTCTTCTTCTCGGAAACATAAATGGAAATGTAGGACATCTGCTCTGTAAATTCATTCACTTTCAAGAGAGAACAGGCAGACACTTTAAAGCAGTGGTTTTTAATGTCTACTATATGTTTCATATTTATTTTATGTGCCAAAATAGAAATTGGCTTTCAAAAAACCTACCCGGAGAAATATTCACTGCCGTACAAACTGTGACAACTAGCCCCAGTCTCCCCTAAGGGCCATGATGCAAGTAACCACATAACAAACCGGATATTTCCTGAGGATCTGGAGTTTCCTCTTCCATTGAATGGAAATTTCGCTGAACCTTCTCTTATTGGGTCATGACGTCATTTGATGTTGTTTATTAATATCTTTTAACACAATGAGAAGATCACTGAGTCATGAGGAATTTTTTATTTCCCACCCTGAGGGGTCAAAAGAACATTAGGCTTACACATATGATGTGACATTACGCACGACCACGCCTTCTAGCGGCGGTCCGCCTGACGTCAGTGTTATTGAAAGACACAGGCCCCGCCCACCGCCGGGCGAACCGCTCTAACAAATCATTCAGCCCGTGCCTGTGAAGCAGTATTGCGGATCGCGACTGTCAGGTCACTCATGCTGCGCACACAATCTCTCTCTGGCTGCTGACTCCTGTATCTCGGGGCACTACAGTGCGATACTGCCCGTGGGAATATACGTACCGCAAACATGTCACGGCATCAAAGGACGCCGTTGAAAAACGAGGAGAGTGTGGTGGAGGTGAAGAGCAAAGTAAGTGAATCCCATAAATGTTGCATTTGACAGCGTGCATAATGTAAACACTGCTGTTTACGCAGCCCTCCACGGGAGCGTGCCCGTAATTGGAGGGCTTTCAATCCGGCGCATCACCAGTGTAGGGGTTTGTGTACTAATCCATCCATAGAGAGAAACGCTGATGGTGCTGTATGTGTCAGACTACGAGGCGCGAGACGAGCGCGTTTGGCTGGGATCATTATGACAGCAGGTCTCTGTTCGGTTCGTGTGATGTGATATGCGGTTCTGGTGCAGTGTGAAGAAGTCTATACCAATAGACAGACGTGCGCAATGAGGCGATTGGGCCCTGTTGATCGATTATGCATGTTACGTATACCAATAGCCAAGATCCGAATCCCGCAGTCCAAGAGGAATCAGCTCGTAATGATGCATGTGAGAGGCATTAATCATATCAGTAGAGCTGTGTACAACATAAATTCGATAAGACGCTGGTTCAGGGACTTCACCTAAAATAAATTAGCCTGTTTTCATCAATTAACAGGTATTAATAAGAAAGAAAGAAAAGAAAAAACTAGCAAAAGTGCAGCTGTTTGGGATTCAATTCAGCTGGCACGAGGCCACAGGTGATCATAATCTTGCTGATGTTGAGTGCTACAGCACTATTGCGAGTGATATTGCTCTATAAAAATTTAAATATCTCACGTTTCATCAAATATTAACTGGTTAGTTTGTATATTTCTACTCTGCTGGTGAAAATAGTTCCAAAAGAAGCTAAAACATTAAGCATTGATTGTCGCCAAGCAACACAAACTAAAAGCCGGACTGGATCGATGTCTATGATTCCCCCCCCGGCAAAGCGTTCTGTAATCTGTGTGTGTTGACAAATCAGGTCCTGCCTCGAAATCGGGTCTCTGTTAGCTCCAGCTACACTGCTACATCTATGAACAGTGAAACGTGCCTCATAATAGTCGACCAAACGTTAGTTGATGATGAGAAGAAGCCTGGTTCAGTTGGTTGACAATTTTAATTGGTCAGTTGGTCGCAAAAAAACTTAGATAAAAAACTCTTAACATATGTATCCGGTCCTACTCAACCTGCTCCGAGCGGTATTCAAACCGGGTTCTCCGTCATGGGAGGGGGGTGCGCTAACAAGGACACTTGCCTCTTGAGGCCAGGGGAGTGAGGTTTACACACACAGCGCTTACTGGCCTACGTCCGTTACACTCACCCCCTAAACCTCACTCCCATCCGGGTCATGGCACCAAATGTAACCGGTCCTACTCAACCCGCTCCGAGCGGGATTCAAACCGGGGTGTCCGGCGTGGGAGGCCTCTTGAGGCCAGGGGAATGAGGTTTACACACACAGCTCTTAGTGGCCTATGTCCGTTACACAGATAAATGTGAACAATTATGATGTGTATGTATATCCAAGTGTTCGTGCAAAGAGAAGGAAAAAAAGATTTTTAGTTGATTTGGCTTATTTTAAGTAATCGTGTGGCCCCTTTGGAAGTTTGCTGAGGCCCCCTATTGGGCCTTGGCCCCTGGTTGAGAACTGTTGTTTTAGAAGACCAGCTGTTGTTAATAGTACGTCTGTTGATCTCAGACCATACAGATGTGTAAACACGTCTCATTTATGGCAGGAAACAATCTTTAGTACATTACATATGATAGTGCACAAATGAATATCAACAGGCAAATTGGAAGAAAATCTACTGTCGTATTGATATTTTAAATATTTCATGTTTTTATTACTTTCCTCATCATAGCCTCTTATTATTACTAAGACACAGACACTTATTGTTGGCCTCTGGTGTATGGGAGTTTGTTGTTGTCAGTGTGCTCAGTATACTTATTGAAAAACCTCAACCACAATCTGCCAAACAGAGTAGGATATGTTTTATTATCTATACTTTCTTGAGAAATGTTAGGCGGGCATAGATGTGTGTGAATTGAAAGATGAGAATAGTAAACACAGGAGGGTCGTCTAGTAGGATTCCAGTGAAGTTCCAGGCCTGGAGGTGATATAGTGTCTTTTTTGTTATTATTTTTGCCTTAACTAGCTAATTTAATAACTCGAATCTTCCTGCATGAGGTTTTGGTTTTCATAACAGGCAGTATAATGTGTTTGGTGACACTCTTTTCTTCCTGAGAGGAAATTGGTAGGAACTGTTTTCTTTTCTACTTTTCCAGCTTTTAATGGGATCCTGTCTCATATTAGGCTATCTATCGCTTACTCATTGCAAAGGCATTTTTTAGTGCACAAGTAGTTTGAGGTTTGTGTTGAGCAATTTATAGTGATGTCTTTTTTCCAAGAGGCTATTCTTTTATTGGTAAAGTATGACAGGTATGACCTTTTTATCTGTATTGCCATGGTTACTGTGGTGGTGATCCCACATAACAGCTCAAATGAAAATTTTTTTTTGGGTGAACTCAATTTGTTCCAAAATAAGATTATTATAGAATAATAGCTCCAATGTAATTTTAGTACAAATGCAATTATTTCAAAGGTGTTGATGCTTGTTATAAAGGGGGGAGGTGATGATGTAAATGTTTACAAGTGGGATGATGAATATGTTCAAATATGTTACGCAATGCGTGTGAGGTAAACTAAAAATAATTTTATTGACACTTGGGAGAATTTATTTTACGTCTGTAATCTGACATATTTTTGAAAGAAACAGAATACTATTCAAGAAGGAAAAAAAAAATGTAAGACCTGATTTTATCCATCATGAATTGATTGGACTATAAAAGTAGTCATATGACAACTTCAACTCAACGGTATAAAAAAAGAAAGAAGAAAACCAATATGTCTGAAAGCTTCAGTCCCTAGATGTCAATGTCCTTCATTCTTATTATCGACCACAGGAAAATGCCTTTGGTTTTATTTTTGTGAATGGGAACATGGCACCTTAAAAAACACCCCATGTGACCTACTGAATGACCTTATTCAAATGATCCAAAATATGATCTTCCTCTCCATCTCCATATGCAAGTTATTCTTCTTGCATACAGGAGAAAATCTTTGGCCCAGACGCAGTTCCTCTTCATAAACTGAGCAATCTGACAGATTTTGTCCAATATGTTCAGCTGAGCTCTTGAGATGAATTCCCCATCCGTGTGTGTGTGTGTGTGTGTGTGAGTGTGTGTGTGGTCTGGAGAAGCTCAGCTTTTTAATGCCATTGTTCTCATCTTTCTTTTTATCTGTAGCACTTGATTAGATTGACCCTCCCTTTGTTCCTCATTGCTTTTTTTTTTACCTTAATGGCTTCCTCAGAGCTGCAAGTGCACATCAAACAACTCTGCAGCTGCAGGAGCAAGTAAAATCGGTACAAAGAACTGCCAATGAATGTGTATGCATGCCCAAGTCACTGTCTAAGGGGTCGTTTACACGACTTTTTATGCATCGTTTTGGCCTTTCATTTACACGAGAACAGTGTTTTGGGGGCCTGAAAATGCAAACTATTGTAAACAGGATTCAAAATGTCTGAAAACTACACCCTTATCGCCGCGGTGTAAACTACAAAAAAACGCAAATTTGTGAAAACGGTGATGTCATGCACATGCATATTACATGTTCAGTCTTTAGGCGCTTAGTTTTTCTTTACAAAGTAACATCGCTACCTACTGGCCTGGCATGCATAATGATACAGTGTTTTTAGTAGTTTTTGCGGATCCGTGTGAAGAGGAATCTTGTTGTCAATGTTGTTGTCTGTTTGTAAAAAACGCAAAGGAAAACATTTCTGTTTTTAATACATCTTTGTCATGTAAACGACTAAACTCAGTTTCAATGGGAAACTCTTTCCAGAAATTGGAATTCACCCTTCGCAGGGAGTTTGATTGACAGGCGATCTGACCAATTTTTGTCCGACAAAGCAGTCAGGAGAGTTAGTAGATTAACGTCGGTGGATTTGAACTTGAGAAACGGTGTGTACTGATGTCTTTCCACAGTTGAGCGGCATCGCTTGTCAGACATAGCAACAGTAACTAAAGGGGTCTTTACGAACGGTCAATTGTCATTAATAAAAGTTCTAACATTTCTTACAGGGTCGTGATCTGTCATAATTAATCTAGCAAGCTAAGCGCTGTGCATCAAGAGCTTATTTTGTGTGTATTGATATGATTTAACATGTTTGTGGTTGTCCTGCAGTTTGAGGCGGAGTACCGAAGGTTTGCCCTGAAGAAGAAGGGAGCTGGGGGCTTCCAGGAATTCTACCAACTGCTTCAAACCATTCACAGAATCCCCGGAGTGGACGTGCTGCTGGGATATGCCGACATCCACGGAGATCTTCTTCCAATTAACAATGATGACAACTTCCACAAAGCACTGTCCTCAGCAAATCCGCTGCTTCGAATTATCATTCAAAAAAGAGGTGAGTCGCTAAACTTTATGCACATTTGCATATCATCCTCATATGCAAAGAGGTCATTCATTGGTTGATACTGTTTTGGAGCTTGAAGGCAAAGTGTGTCAACCTTTAACTTTCATCTTACCAGGGTCAAACTAGGAAACTAAATGGTGCTAAAGGGTTTTTATGATGAAACGCATTTTTTTGCATACTCGGAAAAGGAATATGCATGCAGCATAGCTGATGCATGTTGTTGTTTGTGTGTATGAGAGAGTTGGGCATTAAATTATATATCGGTTTTTGCTGTCATATGTCGTTATCCATATTTGACTCCGGAGGGAATAAAAAGTAATTCCAGCAGTGTAATGTTGTGCATAAGGATGAGGACAGTTATGGGATATGATGAGATGTTATGATGGGTGGGCGTCAGCGTTAGATGGTGCCAGTCGGGGGCCCATCTCTGTTTTATGGCTGCGCTGCGCCAGCCCGAGGTGCTGAGTCTGATAGCGGTGCGGAGGAGTGATGAGCCCACACCCTCATCTCTCTCTCTCTCTCTCTCTCTCTCTCTCTCTCTCTCTCTCTCTCTCTCTCTCTCTCTCTCTCTCTCTCTCTCTCTCTCTCTCTCTCTCTCTCTCTCTCTCTCTCTCTCTCTCTTCCTGTCCCTCCTTGTCTTGTCTTTCTGTCATCTTCACAACCCTCTCGCTCTCCCTCCCGTTTCTTCATCACTCTTAATGCCTCAATGATTTTTATTACATTTGAACCGCAGCAATGAGGAAATGTTTCTCTAATGCTATTACCGGTAGGAATGTTTTTCTCGATTTCAAAATGTTCTTTTCTTTATTTCATTGTTCTGTTAGTTTACGCCACCCTTTCTAATCCACTGTGAAAGAAACTGAGCTCTATTGTTCCTAGTTTTAAAAGACTCAAAAAAGAACAATTTTATTTAGAAAAGGGATCAAATCAGATTAATGAATCTAAAATTGCATGTTAGTTACTATTTGAACATCATGTTTCAACTAGCTCTTACAGCTATGGATTATGGATTTAATTATTTATTCCTGTGATGGCAAATTTTCAGTGTCACATGATCCTTCAGAAATCATTCTAATATGCTTCTTTGAAGCTCAAGAAACATTTCTTATTGTTATCAACTACTTTGTTGACTACTTTTGAAACCATTTTTTTTTCAGGATTCTTTGATGAATAGAAAGTAAAAAAATATATATTTATTTGAAATATATGTTTTGTAACATTAGAAATGTCTTTACTGTCACTTTTAATCAGTTTAATAAATTAAAATAAATTAAATCTAAATAGAAATATTAAAAAAAAAAAAACTGTAAAGCATGACAAGAGCACATAGAGAATTACTAAAACTTTAAAGGGATAGTTCACCCTGAAATGAAAATGCTGTCATCATATACTCACCCTCAAGTTGTTCCAAATCTGAATTAATTTCTTCTGCTGAATACAAAAGAAGATATTTTGAAGAATATGGGTAACCAGACAGTTGATGGACCCCATTGACTTCCATACTATGGAAAAAACATATTCTTCAAAATATGTATGTACAAAAAAGAAATTAATACATTTTTGGAACAACTTTAGGGTGAGTAAATGATGATAGAATTTTATTTTAATTCATTTAATTAAATCACATTAAATAAACTTAAAATATAAAAATAAAAGCTAATTCAAAATATTAATAAATACTATAATAATACTAAAATAACACTGCTCAAGCAATCTTTGGATGCAGATTCAGTGTGTGCCTCGTGATGTATAATGTAGTTTTTGGGGAAGTTGTGGTAATTATCTGTAAAATGTCACTGCTCTGTTGTGGAGCTGTGGATGATGTTTTTGGCTGCCTGTCATGTATGGACTGGAATACCTGAATGTGAACAAACACAATTTTAAGTCTTAAGTAAAAAAAAATAAATAAAAAAAAGTATTGAAGCATGTTTTACAAGAAAATACTTTTTCAGTCTTTCTACTTAAGAGTGTGTTCACATTTGTAGATTGATTCTCTTGGTTCTTTTGGTCAGGACCAAAAAAGAAAATGCATTTAGTCATGGTTCACTTGGCGTGCACACCGTACGTTCTTAACACCGAACACAAAAAACGGCTTTAATGATGTATAGTGTATTCACTTGTTTATTGTGCAGTAAGCAGCATTCACACTTATTCAAATGAACCGCACAAACAGCGCAATGGCACCAGAGTTCGTTTTAATCGAACCAAACATGCCAAGTGTGAACACACCCAAAATTGAACGTTTAATTCAATGCTTTACTTGGCTAATTCTATGCAATTATTTGTGAAATTTACTAGCAATTCCTGAGTGAAAATTGTTTTTCACACCAATTGTTTTCAGTGCATCAATAAACAATATGCTATATAGGATATATATAGCCTATATTTACAGTGCACTTGTACAGCTATTGGACTTTGGAAAGTGGATTACTTCAGAAGGCAATGTCTTTGGCATGAACTAGTAGACAGTGTGAGTTCTTTTAGGACAGACTTGTTTCAGATTGGAAGTCAGCATAGTGTGTGTGTTTCTGTGTTTTAATTCCCCCCCCCCCCCCCCCCCCCCCCCCCTTGTCCTTGTACCAGCTCCCTTCCCAGTACTCAAGAACCCTACTGCAGATTTCTGGTAGCCGGCCTTTCAGTGCGGATCATTTTAATCAAGCCCTATTTGAAGCAGGGGGGAGGAAAGCCACATTTCCAGAGAGGGCTTATCGCTGTGGCAGCCGGGAACAGTTTTTAGAGGGGCTGTCAGTGGGTGATGACAGCTTCATCTTCTCCATGGGAGAAAAATCTGGGTTTTGCATCACGTTTGCTTCTAGTGTAACGGAGGCCCGCTCGTAAATAGGCGTGCGAGTAAACCTCACTCCCCTGGCCTCAAGAGGCGCACTAGCAAGTGACGCTAGAGGCTGTGCAAAAAAAACGTATTGTCGCAAATTGGTCATTCATCCACGTTGGTCAATGATGTCGTGCACATGGTGGAGAAATAACTTCTTTTAATGAATCTGTTTGAGATCGAATTAATGCTAGATGTTTTGCTATAAATTACGAGCATGGCATCTGAGGACTATTTCAAATTTTTCTCAGTTATTTTGCTTTATTTCCAGATTCAATCATAGGTACTTATGTACTAGAGCACGTTCGCACATGCGCTGCAGCGCACTATTCAAAAACTAGTTGAACTGCTGATAACTACAGAACTTGCGACCATAGTTGGCTAACAATGGTTTTGGGGAAACCCACGGTGCGAGTAGAACCGGAGGGGTTGCATTAGTACCGTGGCCCGGGTGGTAGTGAGGTTTAGGGGGGTGAGTGTAACGGAGGCCTGCTAGTAAGAGCTGTGCGAGTAAACCTCACTTCCCTCATGAGTGACTGACACTCGGAGCAGTGCGAGGAGAACCGGAGGGGTTACACTAGCTTTAATGTGGCTTGCTATGCTAGATTTGTAGAGTACCCACAATTCCCATGTACTGCTGTGCTTATTGTTTAGATCACTTAGGTCGCTTTCACTCCTTCCACCTTAGTCTTTATTAATGTACCTACTTATCACAGCTCTGACTCTCTTCAAATCATGATAAAAGCATCTGGGTGACAAATGCTTACTTTACTTCCCTCTGATCAGTAATACTAGATAACACCAGTTCATTTTACAGCGTGGTGCTTCACATGAGCTTCCCCTATAACTGTGAGGTAGGTTATTCAAGAGACTATGGGATACTGATGTAATTTTACTGTGTAGTGCTAGTGCATTTATTGAGGTATTTTAGCTTATTATTGTAGCTCAGGGGTGCCCAATCCTGTTCCTGGAGATCTAACCCTGATCAGACACACCTGAAACAGCTGATCAAGATCTTCAGGAGCACTTGGTAATTACAAACGGGTGTGTTGGACAGGTGCTGCAGGTAGGTAGATCTCCAGGAACAGGATCGGGCACCCCTGCTGCAGGTTATATGACGTTTGACGTTGTCAGCAAAAGAACAGGAACTAACAACTGGCGGGACATGTTTTTAGGAATGTGTTTTTAAATGCACCAGCGTGATGATGCCTGCGCATTTGAACCGAAAACGCCGCCCATCTGGGAGAGCAACTGTGCGGCTGAACATTTAATATGGATATCTGCAAATATAAATGGCCGTGTTGGATTTATATTGTGAGGAATAGTTCACACAAAAATGTAAATTCTCATCATTTGAATGTCCTGAATGAATGTCATAATTGACAAAAAGCAGCATGACGAAGCTTAGTACTCCACGAGATGCCAGGTTTGACATCAATGGTTCTTGTGACCAAATTGGATTTTGTTCACATTTTCAGTGAGTCATTTTTCTGTTCATCAGAGGCATCAAAACACTTGGAATATAGTTCACAAGTCATATGGACTACTTTTTCTTTTTTTTTTCTTCTTTTTTTTTTGCTTGACAGACTTGATCGCCGTTTATTTTCACTGTACAGAAAAGAATAGCTTTGACATGCTGTTAAACATTCCCTTTTATGGTCTGTAAAAAAATGTCCTGTTTAATTTACGTGGAAAAATACGCCAACTAGGGTTGAAAATATATATATTTTTCATCATACTGGTTTACAATATGAGTGTGAGTAAATGATGACAAATTGATTAATTTTCATTTTTAGCCTAACTACATATCTGACAAATGTTTGTAAAAAAAAGTCAAATTAATATATTGCTTTATTTGAACTTCAAGCAAATTAACTACAATATTTGAGTTTGAGTTGCGTTTGGGTTTACATATTTGTCTATTCAATGTTTATAATAATCCCAGTAACACAATCACGCAGAAGCCGAGAACAAACACAGCTGTTTTTAAGGTTTTCTGCTAGCCATAAATGTAACACACTGGTCGTGAATAGATTGATTGACACGAGGACGTGATGTATCCCGTGAGCTGGTGGGATTATCAGAGGTCCCTAATCAGATCTCGACCCCATCCGCATATCTCTGATTGGGGCTTTTAGACTGAGACAGAGATTGATCTGGC